CCCCAAAACCCCAAAACCCCAAAACCCCAAAACCCCGAAAGTTGTGAAAATAATTGATTATTAAATAAAATAGGTAGGTATAGAGGTCTGTACATTGGTTTGTTCTAAAGTACAGCAACATCATGCATAATCATTTAATAACTATCCCAAATTCTTCCTAAAACTCTGCCATACATAAGCCAGGAGGGTATCATGATCTCTATATGCTAGATATTGTCCTAATTTTACCTGCGGGTTTCTCGAAAAACACCTGGAATAATAAATCAATCGTTGGATTTTTGCTCATATAATTTAGGATTAAAGAGCCTTAAATTTTCTATATTAATCATTTTTGCAGAAGGACGAGGTTTTAGATGGGGTTGGAGCAAGGCTAATATTGAGATATAGGCGAGATGCTGAGTATTGTGCATGAGGAATCTACGATTTTTGAGGAAGAAAAGGAGAACAATTTGAATAGGGATCTGCACTTTGATAGTTGTAATCTTTCTAATTTAAGTCAAAAATTGGCACAGAAGTTGAGCAAGCAAAAAAATTGAGCATCGAGGAAGAAGCCCAGGGAGATTATTATCAATAATAGCTCAATTTTTGATTTGCAAGGAGAGAAACCTCTAAAGCAACTTAAGAGAACAAAATCACCGAAGAATGAGGCTATCCTTAATATTCCAAAAGACATTGAACTCAAGTTAAAACAAAGGAAATCAAGAAAAATCGCTCCACTGGAAGTGAAAAGGAGAATAATACTATCCAAAAAACAGAGGGCTCTATCTCCTGACACAGGGAGTAAATTCTTCATCAAAAGAAACAAGAGCTCTCGTAATTGCAAGTCTCCTACCCCCTGAATCCAAAGAAGCTTTTCAAAAGCTCTTCAGACTCATAAGAATGCTAATCTAGGCACAAATCTTAAAATTCTTGATATAAACGTAGGCCACCACTTTCTAAATTTATAATAGAACTCTCAGATGGTTTTCTGCTCCCCAAAGAAATCCTTGGCTGTACAGAATGAAAGTCTTCCAGTGATCCCCAGATTTAACGACACTACTGTAAGTTTAGAGGCGGGCTTGGGAGTGCTTATTACGAGATTGCTGGAATTTTACCCCCATGCTTAGCCAGTACTGGAATTATGATGATAGATTTGCCCAAAAATTACGAATCTTTTGGCTTAGTCAGAGCACACAATAATTTCGAGGGTTGGATGAATGGCATATTCACCGACTTATGGCTTTTAGTGAATATGAAGAAAATGTGCTAATTTTTCATGAATTTCTGAGGTACTAGCCAGAAATTAAGAAGGTTTATTACCTAGCTACTTTATTGAAATTTATAAGGAATCTTTTTAATATACCTAAATTGGGATAAGGTCTTATCATTTGGACTATAGAACACAGAATCGACTAAGGACAACTCTTCTCCTTCTCCATGATCTCCATTGAAAAGGAAGCAGAGAGGCAAGAATCTCTCATTCCATTTGAACTCCAAAAATTGTGTCTACTTGAAGCCACTCAGGATAAGCAAAAAGCCTAGCACTGCTCTTAAGAAGAAGAGAACTTTCAATGAGAGTGTATTTTCCAAAGCTAGGAGAGAAATGAAGTTCTAAGGATCTTAGTCTGGAAAAAGATTCATAAAATCCATTACCCAACATTTGATGGTGAAGTGATGAATCTTTTGCTAGTCCAACTGTGATGACTTGATTAATAACTTTATACTATCTTTGAAATAACACCTTGTCAAGTTTAGTATTAATAATGGGCTGAGAGACTGGCTCCAGTGGTAAATTTAGCATCCAAGTCATTTTTTAATAAATAATTAAGTCTACTGATTTGAATAAAGCTATACAAGCAAACTCTTTGTTCAGTTTAATCTTATAAGATACCTTTTATCTCTCTTTTATGCAAATGAATTACAATAGATAGGGTTTTGTTAAAGAAGTCTTATAGTACTAACCACGTTCTCTAGACTCCCTAAAACTCAACCTTTCCCAACTACACAACATTTTCCGCCACCTCCTAACTTTACACTCTTCACATCATTAAAACCCTCTTCCTCTTAAAATCACCACAGAGCAGTAACCCCCAGACCTCTATTCCAACCCTAATTTCCCCTTTTCCCTTCCCAGGCCCCAAATTCCAAATATCTTCGTCTCTTCAGCTCAAGTCACCAGCTAAAATTCCAGCAGTAGAGATCTTTAATCAGCTGCCCCAGCTGGGGCAGCTGGGGCAGGTAGAATTTTAGTGGGCTTAAGCGGGAAGTGTGGCTGGTGCTGGTGTATGCATCTACTTTAAGTTCCATTCATATCGGATAACCTCTTACAAAATCCTTCGGCGTGCTGAAATTCTGACCTTTGTTCGTCTCTAAGTTTTCTGAACTTTTTACTACTATTAATAACACGATTTTGAGTTATCTGAAATTTTTAGAATTATTTTTTACCCATATTTTACAACAAATCATGCAATCTTCTCCAGGAGGCAGCCTCGGCTGCCTCCTGGCTAGAGATGGCCACATTTGTGGAGATATAAGTGAAATCACTAAATTTTCAGCATATTTAGTGAGGTCAAAACTTGTTGTAAGCCACCTCCTTTTAGGAAAGTGGTTAAAATAAAATATAAGTTAGTTGTTTTTGTAGCAAAATTAAGAACTCTTTAGACAATTTTTATTACCCAAAGGCCAAGTCAGAATGAACATTTATACTTATAATAATTTATTCTGGGATTATAAATTTAGATAAATTGGAACAAATATACATTCTTATTGGTGTGAAAATGGAGCATAAAGAGGATGTATTTATTAATAACAATTGAGTTTTGAAATAATATGTCAAGAGTCGTAAAAAGTTAAGAGCTTTGATGTGAGAATTAGATACAAAATTACTTCTGGCTCTAAATGATTAATCTTGATTGACATATCTAAAATTAATGTTCTTGTTATCAAAATTGATCAATTCGAAAACTCTAGCCTACCTACTAAAACTCTGAACCTCTCTCCTACCAACTTCCAGCCATTTCAACTCCAATACTAATTATGGGGTTTTGGGGTTTTGGGGTTTTGGGGTTTTGGGG